GCAAGTATTATTTCATAATTCACTGTGGGAGGCCGAGGTAGGAGGATTGCTTTAGTCTAGGAGTTCAAGACCAGCCTAGGCAACATAGCGAGACCTCGTCTTTATGAAAAATAAAAAAATTAGCCAGGCATGGTGTACATGCTTGTATTCGCAGTTTGACTGGAAGCTGAGGGAGAAGGATTGCTTGAGCACAGTAGTTTGAGGCTGCGGTGAGCTGTGAACATGCCACACTGTGTACTCTAGCATTGGCAACAGGGTGGGACTCCTATTCAAAAAAACAAAACAAAAGCAGAATTCACCCAATTCTTGTAGTTTGTTGGTGAAAATTGACTCATGGTCATTTAAAAAAGCAGTTTAAAAAATTATTTTCGCTTGTGACCATCATCCAGATCAAGAATATTACCCAGTACTCTATCATTCCAACCCTTACCCTTATATACCCCTTTCTAATCATAAACTGCTTCCTCCCCGTTGGTGGTAACACTATTCTGACTATTTTAATAATTTCTCACTTTAAACTCTTAAAAAATTTTACTTGGAAATATTTCTAAACAATATGATCAAATTTGCTTTAAAAAAATCTTTATGAAATCATTTAGGATGTTATTAGCTCTGACTTCTTATAAACATTCCATTATACTTTTATTTTTATTTATTTATTTATTTATTTTTAAGGTTAAGAAAGAAAAGTTTATTTAAAAGTTAATTAAAGAGAGAAAGAGAAGGAAGAAAGAAGATTCACCTCCCCAAGGTGGGGGGAGGGGGACCAAAGCCAGGAAGCATGGCTACAGCCATGGCTCAAAGAGCACATGACCACACCAGACTCTAGCAAGGGAATGACCCCAATTATACTTTTAAATTCCATCTGTGTTGTTGAGTGACCTCTTGCTCGATCATTTTTGTTGCTGTATATATAGACTTTCATGCATGAACACATCAGAGTTTATACAATCATATTACTGTTGATGGATATTTTGATTTTGTATCCACTCTTCAATTATTGCAAATGATGCTACTGTAAACATTCTTGGATATGCATCCTGGTAAACATAAACATGGCTTTCTATATAGAATATGTAAAAGTGAGTATGGCATCTATGATGAAGATAGTACAATAATAATAATGAGTGAATTGTTGGTAAAAAAATTATTTTGCTGGTAAAAAATTAATTATTTTACCTTATTTTGAATGATTGATATTTTCCTTTGAAATTAGGGAGAATTAGGTCAGTCATGGTGGCTCACACCTATAATCCCAGCAGTTTAGGAGGCTGAGCTGAGAGGATTGCTTGAGCACAGGAGTTCAAGACCAGCCTGGGCAACATAGTGAGACTTCATCTCTATTAAAAAAAAATTAGAGAGAATGAAAAACAAGTTAATAAACTGCCTGTGGGGGGTAGGGGTAGGATTAGCAATAGTGGGAAAGTGTCAGGGGAGCAGGGGCACACTTCATCAACAAGGGTATCTGCATAATGAGCATTTTTTTTTTTTTTTTTTTTTTGAGTT